TTAAAAAATTAGTTCAAAGTTTAATTACAATACGCACAAATTTATTAAATTTTTAATCCCTTTTACTATAAAAGAAAATAAATAAAAATGTATTTTTTAGTACGTTTATGTTATGGTTTATTTACTGTTGCTTAATAAAATTATTTTAAACGATTCTTATAGAGCTTTATAAAACATTTAGTTCGAAAGAAAAATTTTATAAAAGCATATAGAATGTATGTTGCATATCTTTTAAAGTGTATATTTATAAAATTTCAAATACATAAATAAGAAAAGAAGAAAATTCAACATAATTAACCATCTACATTACTATTTCATTAACTAGATTACTAAAAAAATCCTAAAGAACTCTTTTTTCCTATGTATATTCTTATAAGCATAATTATTTCAAACTGTTTATTTTATCTATTATAAAAATCCAGTTTTCCTATATATTTTAGATTTAATAAAAAATATTAAATTTTTTATTTACTTCAGTATCTTTTTCACCTTTCTTATTATTTACTACACATATATTTATGCATGGAGCTAAATATTATTTTAATTGATACATTATTTGTTCATTTTATTAATTATTTCTTAAAGACTTTAGCATTTTTAGCTAGAATACCTAATTTTTATTTCTTATAAATTTTAAATGAAAAATATAAATAATTTACGTTAAAATATTCATTTAAAGCATTTTAAATATCTCCACTTCTTTCATATAAATATGCTATTGCCTCAGTAATATGATATTATTAGCAAACTTTCAAAGTTTCATCAAGAGGATAATCATTGCTTTTTAATTCTTTAATAACCTTAATAAGAATTATTATAAAAAAAATAACAATAAATTAAAACCTTTTGCGGGAACTAAGAAGCCAATAAAGAAATATACAATATTTAAATGTTTTATTAAATATCTTCCCCTTTTTTCTTTTATTAATTACAATTTTTTCTACCAATTTCAATTATAAATCAGGAAATTCAGAAAGCTTTTCAATAGCTTAGCTTTCAGCAGTTTCATCGTTAAACTTTTCAATAATAATCCTTGTTTAATCAGAATCTAACTTTACTAATTCTTTTAAATTACTAACAAGTATATATTTCATTGTACTTTAAATAATATCTTGTTTATTTTATTAATGTAATTATTAAAAGAGTAAATTTAAAAATTTGAAAATTTTCATTTGAATATTTTTTTTTTCCGCATTCAAATATAATTATATACACTATTAATAGCTTTAGTTTATATAATTTAAATAAGCACATACTTCAATAAAAGGAGAATAACTTGATTTTTATATAAGTTCTTATAAAATTTCCTTATTTTTAATATTAAACTCATATTTTGTTAACATAATTATTATTTTTTCACTATTAATTTCTGCTGGAATGTGAATTTTATTTTTAAATATATTTGTTTATGGATAATTAAAAAAGTGCAATGCACTATCAATCACCATTTCAACTTATACTTCGAAATTTTTGCATGAAATTTCTAAAATAAAATGGCTAAAACATGATATTTAATCAAAATCACTTGTAGAAATAGATTCATGAATAATTTTTATTATTAAAGAATGAACGGAAGGATATAAATCAATTAAATCAATAACTTTTTAATTATTAATTTATTTTTTTACATTGTTTTGCAATTCTAATGACATATAAATTTCATTATTATTTTCTTGCAAAAATTGGTTAGGTTAATTATCAAAAAAAAAAAGAATTATTTCGAACATTAAAAAAGGATTAATTTATATTAATTCAATTAGATTTTATTGTATAAATATCCACTAACAAATTTAAAGTACTGCCTTTAATATATTTACAATAATATAATAAATAAAAATATACTTTAGAATATAAATTATCTTCCATTTGGGTATTTGGAAACATCTTCCCTTATAATGTTAATCTTAGGAACCACAAACAATAATATCCTAAATTTTTATCAAGCTTTTGTTTCTATAAATAATGAGAAAAGCATTATACTGCTGGAGTTATGAAATCTTAATTACATTAAGTACTCAAATAAAATAAGCTTGAATAAAGTTTTCCTTATATACATATTTGTGTTATTACACCTACATCTAATTCTTAAATTTCTAAATTTATTATTAGCTTTTTTATTAATTTTATATAATTTTCTCCTTTAGAACTATAATTATCTATTAATTTCCTTAGTGCTTTTGGGTTAATTTGCTTTATCTATTATAAATAATATTTTTTTATTTTAAGAATTTATAATAATAATTTAACTTTGTTCTTTAAAATAAAAGGTTCTAATATTTAAATAAATAAATCAAGTACATTGAATTATTGTAAAAGAACGAAAAATTCAGAAAATAAATAATGAAAATATTATAATTCTATTAAAAATTCTACGATTGTTTGAATTCTCATATGCCAAAATTATTTATTATTTTATTCATTTAATATTTAGCCAACTTCTTATATATATCTAACAGAACTATGTAATAAAAAAAAACTAATATATATATATATATATATATATATATATATATATATTTATATATTTATATTTATTTTTTTAATTAAATTTTTATAAATTTTAATATTTTTAAATGTTGAATATATCATTTATTTATATTTTATTATATTTCTTTATAAAATTATATAAATATTTTTAATATATATATCTTTAATAAATATATATTTATATATTTTTTTATTTAATAATTAATACATTATTTCCACATATTTATGTAATTAGTCTTTTCTTGTCTTTTTATTATTCGAAATATTTGAGTACAATAAATTTTTTCCTTGATATATTTCAATTAATTTATATAAAGCTTACATCCAATCGCTTTTATCTATTAATTTATTAATGTATTTTTCCCAATATGTCATTTTTATTTTTAAAACACTTTAATTGCCTAAAATAAAAACATTATAATTATTTACATCAAATGAATTTTCTAATAAACTATAACTTTTATTAACTAATTTTAATAAAGGTTAAGTAATAATACTAATTTAAATTTCCTTTTAAAATTTGATACTACTTTCTTCTTATTTAAAAATTTCTCTTTTTTAATATATAAATTAATATTTATAAAAATTAATGTTTAAAACCTTTCATCAAGTATTTCTTATTATAATTTAAAAAAATCATTTTAAATGAATCCATCTAATTAAATAATTTTAAAAATAGAATTAGAATCAATATAAAATAAAAAGTTTTCAGCTAAACTATCAAAATAAATAATTTAATAGCAACTTAAATAGAAAGAACAATATTAAACATCTTTTAAAATAATAGAATTATCTTATTCTTCTAAATTAGTAATTTTATATAATTTTATTTTATTATCTTAGCATATTGCAAACATTAATTTTAAATTATCTGTATTTTAAACCCAAGAAAAATGGCAAAGGCTATTACTAGAATCCACTTAAACTTTATAAATATGACTTACGAAAGGTTCTATCATAATAATTAAGACATAATCAAGTGCACAAATTGAAACTAGAACACATTATTTAGAGTTTTATTATTTTAACTAAGTTTTTTTCAATTTTAATTAATAAATGCTAGATTTAGTATTCTATAGTAAAACTGTGGTATCATAACTATAATAAAAGATTTCTTTTTATATTTTAATAATAAGTAAAGTTCCATTATTATCACTTACAAGAAATTAATTTTAAGAAAAAAATAATACTTATAATATTTAATTTTCAAACAAATTAGATATTAGTTTTATACATTATTTCTTATTAATATCCCAGAAACCTAAGGCTCCAAACTCATATCCAGTAACTATATTATTTCCGTTTTCAGATATATCTAAAGCTGTTATAGAACCATAATCATTACTATTTAATTTTAATATACTATAGCTTTATTAAGAGTTTTTATAATTATCTAGTATAATAATACTACCATCTGAGCATCCTATACAAATCCTTGAAGGACGGTTATTTTAATAATACACCTTTATTTATTTTTATTAATTAAATTAAATATTTTTTACTTTCATGGAAGTAAACTAATAGTTTTAATGTTTTTAATTAAATTTATTAACTAATTCATTTAAACTAAATATAATGCTATCCGAGCTAATAAAATTTTATTCTTATATTTTGCTAAATAATTAAGGAAAATTAGACTCGATTTCCTTTAACTCTTTAGAATTAGTACTAATATCATTAAATTCTTACTTTTGAATTTTATCTATTTAATCTTCACTTTCTAATTAAGTCGTAACTTATTCTGCTTAGTAACTTAATTGACTATCTAAATCATTGTTTTCATCATTTTTTTCTTCATTACTTTTATCTATTTAATCTAAAATTCTATTTAACTCTTATTAATTTATTTAAAAATTTAATTTATTATTTTGATTAGTTAATTTGTCTTATTAATCAAGCTTTTTTTTAATTCAAAATTATATAAAAATATAATTAAAATTATATTTTATATTTACCTAAGATACTGATGATTTTTAAGAATAATAAGACTCTATATTATCTAAAGTATCTTCCATGTAGTTTTCTCCAAGAATTTCGACTAAAATTTAATTAATTTGTGTATTTTTATACTTTTGATTTAAATTATTTTACTTTATTAGCCATTATTACTCATAATTTTATTCTAATGATTTTTCTTAAATTATTGATTTAAAGTTTTAAGTATCTAATATAATATTTAAATTTTTACAAATTTATTAATACTCTTATTACAATAATTTATTTTATTAATATTTAGATGGAATTTCATGTAAATCATTATCCTATTCACAAAAAACTTAAATTTACATATATATTTTATTTTAAGAGTTTTTATTATTAAAAATTAAAATCTTGAAAATAAACAAATTTTATAATATATATATGAAATAAATATTAAATATATACAAATAAATATTATCTTTGTTTATTTTATTTTTATTTTTTCAATTTAAAAAAACTATTATGCATGTTATATCATCCATAATGTTATCATTCTTTTAATAATAAAAAATAATATAATGAATAAATATTACTAGTTTCCATTGGAAAACAGATTCATTAATTATATTTTCACAAGCTTTTTAAATTTAATTATTTAAATATGAAGGTATTATTAATTCCATAACCTTTTATAAATAAAATACTTTTTTTATTGTTTTAGAAAAAAAAAAAAAAATACGTTTTAATTTTATATAAATTCCCAAACTCCATCAGATGCAATAATTATAAATTTATCAGAATTTTAAATTTCATATTAAAAAATTTCTTTATTAAATTATTATTAGATAAATTAAAAAATTTATAAAAATCCTTTTAAAAATTCTCTATCAAATTATATTATAAATAATCATATGTTATTTATGCTTGATTATCTTATAATAAAATCTAGCAGAGAAAATAATAGGATTTTTTAATATATTTTATTCATATTTTTTCTTCTCTAATTTTTTATAGAAACTTAATCATAAAAAAATAAAAGGCAAAAAAAATACATTATAACCTTTTTTCTTTAGCTGATTGCGTTTTTAAAAAAAATTAAAATAAAAAAAAAATAGAACAAATAATAAATGAAATAATATAATAAGCATACCTGGCTCACATATAACTCCAACTTATGAGGCAATAACATCTCCAAAAGATCTAGACATAGCTAATCCAGGTATATTTTAATTTTTTAACCAGACTCTACAAGGTCCCAAATGATTATTGTTTTCATCTTTGTAGCTTTCTACCCTTCCCCCTCTTTGAATAATTCTAGCAAATTCATCTAATTCATTAGGTTTATGATCACGTGTCAATTATTTAGATATCCAATTGTTTTCTATATCAAGCTAGCATAAAACTGCCCTAGAATCTCCTGCATTTGCAGTCCATATTTTGTTGCCTATAATTAATGTCAAAACACATGTAGAACCACTAAAAGTACAATCTATGTTAGATTCAAGTAAGGCTTTACTTGCTTATAAAAACGATAGATTAAGAGAATTTTCGATAAAATCATTATCTATATTATTTAATTCACGTGCTAATGCATCTTCTATTTTTTCTTTTTTTATTAAATTAATAATAATAACTATTCTTTATATATTTACATGGTAAATTCATTTTTATAAAATTTGATACTAGATGCCCATTTATACCATGTCCATCACAAACAAAAAACAAAAACCTATTAGATTAGTTATTTAAATTTTAATAAATAGCAAAGCTATCTTAATTAACTTTCGGACCATTTTAATTACAACCACTTTAGGTTTTATAAAAAATTTCTCTTATCAAATTAGTATTTAAGTTAGAAGATAATTAAATATTATTTCTATTAAATAAATTATTGAAATTTTATTATTATTAATCCTAAGATTATAAAGTTTAAGAATGTGATAAATCTTATCCATTATGTATAGAGAAATCGGTTTTTATTTTTCTATAAAAATTTAGATTTTTATTTTTAAATGTGTTTTAAGTTGTATTTTTTAGTTGAGAATAAAAAGCTTTATTATATGAGCTTTAAAAATTATATGATTTATTTACTTAATTTAAATCAGAATTTTCTTATATATAATTAGATGTTTTAACTCTAAAATTTTATTATATTTTTTAACGATTTTCATTTTATTATTTAGTATTATTATGTTGTTGGTTATAAAATTTAATATTATTTGAATTTTATTATTATTTTTAGACATTATTATTATCATCTTCTTTTTTTTAGAAATTACTGTTTTTTATTATATTATTTATTTTTATTATTTATTCAAATTAATTAACTATAATTAATTAGGTATTTTATTATAAATTTAATTTTAAAAATTATTTGACTAATTTTATTTAAACTTATTTTAAGTAAGACAATTAATATTATTATTTATGTTTAAATAGAAATCTTTAGTATAAATGTTAGTTTTTTATTTTTATACATTTTTTTTCTATTCTAATTAAGTTTATTTAAATTGTTTTATATAGTTATCTGTAAGCATTTTTATTTTTAGGTTAAATCTGTTCTTATTATTTTAATTTTATGATTTGTTTTCTATATTAAAATTTTCTTTTTTTAACTATTCTTATTATTATTCTGCATTTTTTGGTTATTAAGACTTAACTTTAATTTATTAATCTTAAAAATCTTTATATTTTTTATTATTACAATTAATATTTTTATGGTATGATATTTTAGGTAATTTTACTTCACTTAAAGATTTTATAATTCTTTTGTTACTACTATTTTAGTTAATTATATTGAAAGAAGATTTAGACCTTGATTTACTTTAAGAGTATAAAGATTAATTATTAGATTTATCTACTATATTTATAAATTATTTAAAGGTTTTAAAAGATTAAGAATATTGTTTTTTTATTCGATTTGAACCATTAAAAATCTAAAGATTTTCTCCTTTGCTTTGTCTTGTTTTAATATTTTAATTAACAAATGCATTTTCTTTATTTTAATTTTATGGTTATTATAATAATTCATAGATTTTATTTTTTGAAATTTGATTAATATCCTAATCTATTTTAGGTTTATTTTTATTTACGAATAATATAAAATTAAGTTACATTGTAATTATTATTAAATATTTATATTTGAATAAATTTATTTAAAAGAGCTTTTATTATGACTAAAGCTGTTACTTTATTTTTATTAGGCCTATAAAATAATTTAATTTAAAATTACTAAACAAAATAAATAATAATTAAATTTATAAAAAAATATACTGAAAAAATAAAATTCAATCTACTATTAGATGCAGAATTATTTTAGCTTACTTTAAAACGCTATTTATTCTTATTATTAATAATATTATTATATTTACATAAAAGTAACATTTTCAACTATTACTTTTAATTATAATTATTATTCATTTTTATATAATTATAAATTTTTATTAATTTTGTTTTAATTTAAAGATTAAAAATAAAATTGAATAAAAAAATAATTATTAATTTAAAAAATAAAAAATTATAATTAATATAAATTTGTTAATTTTTAATGTATTTTATGATAATTTTTTTTTTTAATAAAATAATTAAAAAAAAAAATATTAAACAAAATAAATTAAAATGTTAAAGAAATATATGAAGTAATAAAATGGTATATATTTTAGAAATAAAAACCCATATTTATTAATAATATTATTAAAAAAAAAAATAATAAAAATAAAAATAAAAATATAATGTAATTTTCAATCATATTTACTGATATAATAATAAAAATAAAAATGTTAAAATTAAAAATATAAATAATTATATTATATATTGAAAATTACTTTAATAAAAATAATATAAAAAAATATATAATAAATTAATAAATAAATTTATATATAAAATTATAAAAAAATAAAAAAATATATTTAATAAATTTATAAATAAATTTATATATAAATTTATTAATAAATAATATTTTTATTTATTTTTTATTTTATAGTTATATTATTTATTTTATATAATATTTAATTTTTTTTTTTTTTTTATTTCTTTTTAAGTTATTATTTATATTTATTTATCATATAAAATATTATTAATGTGTAAATACTTTTATATAATAAAAAATTATATAAAATATACAACATTTTACATACATTATTTTTATTTATCAGTATTATATATAATTAACATTTAATAAATAAAAATATTTTTTACAAATTTTTTATTCAAATTAATTACATACACAAATTTTTTACTTAATATTAAGTTTTTTATATATATCAAATTTCTTTTGTTTATTAATATTTCATTAATTATATATATTTTTTTTATTTTTATTTAAATATTTTTTATACTTTACAATTAATATAATTATAATATTCTTATTCTTTAAATATATTATTTATAATAAACTTTTTAATTATCTATTTTTTATTTTTATATAATTACTATATTTATTTTTATTATTAATAATTTTTTACATTTTTATTTACCGCATTAATTTGATTATTCTTTCTAATAAATAAATTTAAAATATCTTTTTTATTTTATTCTTTTATATAACATAATAATAAATTTATATATAAATTTAATATAAATTTTTTTATTCTTTTTATATAAAGATTCAATTTTTTTAAAAAAATATTTGTTTGGGACTCTATATTATTTTTAAACTAGTGTAATTTTTTTTATTTAGTTTCAGACAATATATATTTAACTTCTTTAGATGAACTGGCTTATCTTGACAAAAAAAAAATAGAAAGGCGAACATATGAAAGTTCAAAAATAAATATTTTATAAAAGAGTTATTAAAATATTTATAAAAATATATTTTATAAATAATATTCTTATAAGAGTATTGTAATTGATATTTTTTTTTTAATTCAAAAATGCATAAAATTAAATTGTTTATTTTTAAAATATTACAAAAGAAAATGTATGATAAATAATAATTTATTATAATAAAAATTATTTTAAAATTTAGTTATAATTGAAGTAATATATATCTCATTAAAATCTTTAAATAATCATTAAATATTGCCATAAATAGGAATTCTTCTTTTAGAACATACATAATTTAATTTATGCTATTATTCACATAATCCACATAATATTATTTTATTAGGTTCTATTTCTTTTTTGCGCCAACATTAAGTTGTTTTATGACCTATTTCTTTACAATTAAAACATAAAATTAATTAATCTCTTTCATGTAAACTATTGTAAAATTTAAAGTCACATGTAGTGAATGCTTTTGGATGAGCCTTATATAATATTATTAAATTAATTGAATAATATATTATAGGAAGTTACTTTGTCACATCGAGGTCCATTTGGGCAAAAACCATACATATAATTTTCACACAATTTGAGAGTTACATGAATAAATTCACAATCTGGTCCATCTGGGCAAAACCCTTAATCAAAAGCTAAGCATCTATAATAAGCATGCTTATTTTTACAATTTTCTCCGAATTTGCATTATCCTTTTTTAAAATGCTCACATAATATCTTTTTTGTTAATTTATAATTGCATAAATTTTTATTTTTACTTATTGTGTTTTTCCTTATTCTATTTTATGAGAAAAATCACATTAATCACCAAATTTGCAATGACCCAACTAAAATTTTTTGCAAACTCGAATTTTTTCATCAGTATGTGCATACTAACAATTAGAATCTTTTTAACATTCATTATGAATATATTTTTTGCAAATCCCATTTCTTGTTGCTTCTTTATTAAACGTGCTTGTATCTGTTTATATTACTTATTCTGTTTGCTATTGATCATTTAGATCGTTCATTTATAAATTTTTTATAATTTGTTAGATAATAATAAAAAATTAATTTTTTTTTAAAAAAATATTAATAAGATGAATATATATTTATTAAAAAGATTATATTATATAATTAATTAAAAATAAAATTATATATACTCAAGTTTTGTGTCTAGAAAAATTAAATGTTTAATATATAGTATTATAATTCATAAAGTATAATATAAATTTAAATGCTAACAAAAATAAAAAATACAATAGTATATTTTTAATAAAACTAATAAAATTTATACATAAATAATTCATATCTTCTAGCATGAGCTTTTTTAGACTTTTCGGCTTTTTTTTAGCATCTTTTTAATTTATTATTTATTTTAAACTTTAGGAGGCTCATCAACAAGGAACTTATCTATTAGTAATGCTTCAGGTAATAAAAAATACTTAATATTATTACCCCTAATTGTTAAATTATCCAACTGGATTTTTGCCTTTATTTGTTAATTTATTTAATTTCATTAAAAATTTAACTAATTTGATTATTTTTATAAAGATAATTAATAGACTTTTATTTATTAATTAAACAGACTTTTAGATTATTCGTTTAATTTACTTTGTTTTTTTATTAGATATAATTTGATACTTTTTTATTGTAAATATTTATATAATTAAAAAGTATAACACAAATACTATTTGGATATAAAAAATATAATATTTTTTTAATAAAAATAAAATTAATCTTAATAATAATTAATTATATAACTACTTGTGCTAATTTTAATATATATTAAACTTTAAAAGCAAACTCAAAAAATAATTCATTATTTTAATTTTTTTCCAAATAATACTTCCTATTAATTATTAATATAATTTAAAGAATAAATTGTTAAATAATTTAAATAAAATTTC